ATGAGAGTGATTTTAGAGAGAAATATTTCTTTCAGTACTACACTTTTGTGGATATAAAATTCTAGTGCTAGTCATTGTCTTTTAAGGTTTTGCTCCTATCTGCAAACTGGACGGGATTCCAAATTACTCTAGTTTCCTCAAATATTTGGCTGAACTCTCCAAACTAATGTTTCACGTCTTCTCCCATCCTTTAACTTGGAACCACTGAGAACTAAAACAGCCCTCTTTCCTGAAGCCCTGCAAACTGCAACTAGACGACTCAACATAAAAACATAAGAGAAACCGAAAACACTGCCACAGTAGCTCATGTTTAGTCAACCTCTAGGTCTGACATAAGCCACTAAAAATGTTCTCCAGGCACCTGATGACATCATAGACATTTCAACCTGCAAAAGAAGCTCTGAGCCTGACACCCAGAAATCTTCTTCAATGGCTACTGCCTTGGCTCAGAAACTGCTTTATCATTTGATCCAATCATTAGCCTTTGATTTTCTTTTGTTTCCACAGAGATACCCCTTATTAATTACCTGATTGCCTGCTCAATACAGGCCTGATGTTGGAAGCCCATCTGCGAGACCACATCCTGAAATGCAATACAACTGCTTACCTAAACTGACCTATTCTCAAGACTGAGACTAGTTCCGTGAGACATGGAACAATCTATAAACATTGCTCTGGAATGTGAAATTTCTTACTTGAAGTTCCAAAGATGGAACTGAAAGAGAGCAGAGCTTGCCACCCCAAAATATGACTCTTTGGGACAGCAATTATTTTAGACTCGTTAATTTAAAGAAACCGCAGACTGGTAATCTATCATAAACTGACTCTCTCCCTCCAACATCTTTTGTCTTTAGCTGAAGATGGTATTTAAGGTGATGGCTTCTGCCATTTTGGAAAGCTACTCAGTTTTCCTGGGTTTTCTCCATATATACAATATGAAAACATACATGTTATTAAACTTTTGTTTCTCTCTTGCTAATCTGCCTCATGTTAATTTGATTATTAGACCAGCCAGAAGTATCATGAAGGTGTTAAAGAGAAAACCACAACCCTAAAAGCCCATGATACCAAGCCCATAATGCCTAGTCTGATTACATTTTCAACCTCTCCAGAAATATAATCTTAATCAACCAGTCTGGACTTTTCTGGTCAACACCAATGAGATAATCTGTCACATGGGCCCTCTACATCCCCCAGAGAAAGAATCATCTCAGTTATAAAAACAGTCACGGGGATGTAAAGTACAGCATAGGCAACGCAGTCAATAATATTGCAATAACTGTGTATGGTATTAGATGGGTACTAGACTTTTGGGGATGATCAGTTCATAAGGTATATAAATGTCTAATCACTATGTTGTACACCTGAAACAAATATAATATATATGTCAACTGTAATTGGAAAATAAATTAATTTTTTTTTAAATCATTCTCTTTTAAATAAAGACCAATATAGGAATCAAAAAAGAGAAAATGGCCCTGGCTGGTTTGGCTCAGCGGTTAAAGCATTGGCCCGCGGTCCAGAGAGACTGGAGTTCGGTTCCCACTAAGGGCGCGTACCTCGGTTGCAGTTTGTCCCCAGCCCCAGTTGGGGTTGTGTGGGTAGCAGCAAGTCAATGTGTCTCTCTCACATTGATGTTTCTCTCTCTCTTCCTTCCTCTCTCCCTCTTGCTCTATCTGAAGATAAATGCAAAAAGTCCTCAGTGAGGATAAAAAAAAAAAAAAGAAAGTGTGCATGATAAAAACTCTTCCCAGCCCTGGTCAGTTTGGCTTTGAGGTTAGAGCATCAGCCCATGTTCATTGGTTTGATTCCCGTCAAGGGCACAAGGGCACGTAGCTGGGTTGCAGGTTCGATCCCCAGCCCTATTTGGGGCCAGGCGAGAGAAAACCAATCAATGTGTCTCTCTCACCTCAATGTTTCTCTCTATTTTCCTCCTTCCCTTCCACTCTATCTAAAAATCAATGGAAAAATATCCTCCAGTGAGGTTTAACAAAAACAAAAAACAAACTTCCCATTTTCCCCATCCCCACCCCCCTCCAAAAAAAGATTAAAATAATCGTTTTTCTTTTGTTAATGGCTCCCTTGCCCAGCCCTTGCTCCTATAAAAGTCTTCCATTTTGTAAACCCCTCTGAGTGTCCTTTTAGTTGCTAGATAGGATTCTGCCCCATTCATGAATACTTAATAATGCCAATTCTATGTTCAAATTAATTCAGTTGAATTTTTTTTTTTAACAAAGGGTAGAGGAAAATGTTTCCTCCCCCCAAATAGTAAGTACAAATGTTTACCATAAATTCGAGCTAATTGAGCAGAATGAATTTGATCACTGGAGGCTGTTTGACTCCTTCTGGAGAAGATGTAGATAGAATTTCTGACCCATGCCTTTGACACAGACTTGTTGAACTCATTTTATGCATTAGTTAATCCCTCTCCTCTAGGTTCCTCAGTGGGAACTGCAACACAGTGAAGGAAGAAGGACCAAGGGGCACAAAACCATCTTTAATATTGCTATAGCCCCCAGCACCTGGAACACTGTCTGATACACAGCAGGTTCTCAGTAAATATCTATTGGCTGACTCGGACAGACATTTACTGCACTTCGTTATAACTGTATGTGACAGCAGCAACCAACTCAAACAAGCTATGTGCAGAGGAAAAAGACAAATTCTGCCAGAGAAGGTAAAGCAAGGAAGATTTCCCAGAAGCAAAGAGTAGCCCTTCCCTGGAGGAACAGCTTTTCAGCAGGCAGAGGCTGCCAGAAAGCCATGTGGACAGGAGTATGCCCTGATCGAAGCTGGAACAGATGGCCTGAGCTACTTTCCAATTCAAATCCCTACCAAGGTTTTCTTTCCTGGGGTTTTGTTGTGTTTCATCATCGCCTTCAAGCCTTCAACTATAAAGGGGGTACATACACAGGGGTTGTTGTGCTTCTCTACCAGGAAATTAGCTAAAAGAAAACAGCAGGTAACAGAAAAATACTGTGGAATGTTTTATTTACTAGGCAGTGAGCCTGTAAGACTCTTAGACCTTCTGAGAAAAATAATATGAGAACACCCTCCAAATCCACTAGAAACAAGCTACTTTAAAACAAATTGCTGGCTGGTCGGTGTGGCTCAGTTGATTGGGCATCATCCCTTGAACAGAAAAGTTGCCAATTCAATAGTTTGCTCTCACATTGATGTTTCTCTCTCTCTCTCCCTCACCCTTCATCTCGGTCTAATTATCAATGAGAGAAAAAACAATCCCTATCCTTTATTTTTCTTCTTCTCTAAATGGGTTCATGCAAAAACTACTTGATTCCCAACAGAAAAAAGAAAAAGATAATATAAACATTTCATAGTCGCTTCTTACTCCAGGGAGAAGCACTGGGGGTGGGGGATGGGAGATGAAGGTATTTGAAAGATAATGAAAACTAAAATTCAGAACAAAGGAAAGGTCAAATGAAAAATAAAATGAGAATAAGAGAAGAGAGCAAGTGGAAAAATTTTAAGACCTCTAAAAAGGGGCAGAAATACACCACTTCCCATCCCATTCTCTTTAAAAATGGAAAGGACCACTAATCCAGTCCCACAGTGTAGGTGTGAAGCCCTTCATGCCAGATGGAAAGGGGTCACAAAGTCAGGTATAAAGAATGCTATGAAATGGCTCAGTCATATTCTGCCATTCCCTCCCCTCATCACAAAACCCCTAGGTTGACAGCCAGCCTTCCCTCTCACACTGTACTCCCCCAAAACTGGAAGAACAATCCCAAACACTGCAAGAATAAAATGCATTTGAATCCGGTATTAAAGTTAAAATAGACCTAATTTAAGTAACTATACCTCCCAGTAAAAACAGAACTCTGCCTTCCAAGACATGGGGGCTGGGGGAGCGAGTATTCTTGAAAATCAAAGTAAAAACTTGCATTTTACTACCCGCTTAAGAGATAATAAAATTCTGCCTTTAAGATACTTAATTCCTAACTTTTGAGCTTGTTTTCCCACACAGTTCTTCACCCACCTCCTCAAATTAATGTGTGCTTCTGTAATAATGAAGATCCCTGGATAATAACCACCTTGGACACTGAGAACAGAAGCGATTGTCCAGCACCCGGTTTGCAATAACAAGTTTTCATAAAGGCATTGCTAATTATAAGCATCCGCATCCCAGGAGGGTTATGTACCTCCAAGCAGCACAACAGCTACCTCTTGCCTTTTAATGCCAGTAAATGAACTGGTGTGAAGGTGGGGTGGAAGGAGAGAGAGACGGGCTGTCCTGAAAGCCCAAGAGATCAGATCTATATCCCCAAATTCATCATGCAAGCCAAAGGAGGCATTCTCAAAAAGCCAGTTCTGTGGAAGCTAGATTCAGTATTAAATTTATCAGATCTAGTCTCCCACTGGTCTCCTAACAGCCAGGCCCAGGCTTGGAGAGGGGGGTAGTTCGTGCTGAGAATTCACCTTAGAAGACTGCAAGGAACAGACAGGCCTTTGAGAGCCACCAGGGCTCTGCCCGGAGGCCCGAGGCGACACTGGGGCTGGAACAGTGCGTGGCTCGGAACTGCGCGGAGCCACAGGTTCCCCAGCGCGCACCCGGACAGACTCCCACAGGTGGGTGGCGCTTGGCCTGGGGGGCCTGGGCGAGGAGTGGGCTCCGGGATGGACCAGAGGTTTTGCTTTAAGGAAACAGTGCTAGAGGGGTACTCGGCGTTGTCAGCTGCCAGGTTCTCGCTCCCTCAGCTGGGTGGTTACCGGCTTTTCCCCGCAGGAGCCCGGGCGCAGAGAGGAGCCGCGTGCACCTCCCACCCTCCTCCCCGCGAGCCTCGGCCTTCTCCCCCGGCGCACCGCCGCGGGCCACCGGCTGCATGCGCCCCGGCACGTAGGAGCCTGCACGACCACACGCGGGCGGGGGAAGGGCCCCCGGGGACCGAGGAGACCCGGCCCCTCTCAGGCCGATCCTCTGCCCGGCCCTACCGGATCCTGCTTCGGATCACCCCCGCCCCTCGCCCCCGAACCCCCCTCACCCGTGTCGGCCTTGATGTTCTCCCGCAAGAAGTGGCCGCTGGAGAGATGCTGGAGGCCAAAGTTCTGGGCGATCCTCTGGCACACGGTGCCCTTGCCCGAGCCAGGCGGCCCGAGGATGACCGCGCGCAGGAGTTTGGAAGCCATTGCCTTCTCGAGGAGTGGGGCAGCCAAACGGGGAATGGGGACAGCAGCCTCGGAGGAGCCCCGGGAACTTTGTTTATTCTGCCTCTGCTGCTGACACCCTCCGCTCGCTCGGGGACTTGTCGGCCGCCCCTGCAGGGGAAGCAGAGTTTTGAGACAGCCCCTCCCCTCAGCCCGCTGCGGGGCGGCTGGAAGGCGGAGTGAGGCGCCACGCTACACCTCCCCGCCCTCCTCGCCCCCACGCCTGGAGCTTGGAGAAGTCCCGCGCCCCCGCCGCTGGCATGATCAGCCTTCGGGGCTCAGAGGTCGGCAGGCCAGTCCTACCTCGATCCCTCCCTCTGTCTTGCTCTCCATGCCGCGTCAGAGGAACGGACCAAGCGGCATCCCCAAGCCAGTCCCCACAGAGGGGAAGCTGGTCGGCGGTGACTCCAAGCGCACACCCTCGCCCCTGAATTCCACGCCCCAGGCGTCAAGGGGGCTGAGCCCCTGACCCGGTCTGCGCACGTGGGCAGCTGTTTAGTCTGCTCCTCACCCTCCTTGGAGGCTGTCACATCCCCCAGTCACCCCGGGGGGCCGCCCGCCTGCTGCCGGTGCAAACACCCCAGCGCCCACCTCCACCGGGGGTTGATAGATGTGCTCCCCCGGGGTCCAGCGCGTCTCCACCCAAAGCAGTCACATAAACATACACCTCGGCTGGGACTCGGCCCTCCGACAGGCTGCCAGCCCGGATCCTTCTGGGCGGTGCCGCCTCCACCCGCCCCCACCCCGGTCCCGGCCGGCGGCGCAGAACTCGGCTTTACGTAAGCCGGGGAGCCGGGCTCCGCGCGAGAGGCCGCCCGTGTCCGCTCCCCTGCCCACCGCTCTGCCACCCCGCCTTCCTGGGCCCACGTGCTCCTCGAGACCCAGTAGGGGCTGTGGGGGCGAAGGGAGGTGGAGAAGACAGAAGGGACCGAAAGCGCTTTTTTGTGGTCGCCTGAGGACCTGACCTACTATGAACGGGAAAGGAAAACACAACTTGCTGAGCGCCTGCTGTGTGTGGAGTTGGGGGCTAGGTGATTTCCTTAGGCCATGACCAGTCCTGGTAGGGTAGTCACAGTTGAGGAAAAAAGGCTTGGAGTAGTATGACCATTCATTTCATTCACTGATTCATTCATTCAGCAAATGTTTATTGAGTGACTACTGTGTGCCAGACACACACGTTTGGCAGACGTGAATCAGAGATAGAATTCCGCCCCGGTGGAAGCCACATTCCAGCGGGCATTTTGAACCCTCGTCTGCTTCATTCCAAAACCTAGGTTCCTTGGGGCAGAAAGAAGAAGGGGGTGTTCACTCACCTGTGCTCAGAATCTTATAGCCAACTGATTCCAGGACTGCAGGGCCCAGCTGTTGACAATGCATTTACAATTAATCAAATACAAATGGGTGCTATCTCTTCTCTCCTCTCCCCTGAATATCCAAATTCATAAATCTTAAATCAGTTCCGACCTGATTTCTCACTGGGACTAGTGTGATAACTGCTGGCCCAAAAGTCTCTGGCTTCCTTCAGTCCATCCTCACGGCTGCCAGAGATATTGCTAAAGTGCAAATCAATTTCTATTATTTTCTCACCTCAGATATTATTGTCCCTTCAAGATAAAGTAAAAATATCCAGCAGAAAACAAACAAACAAAAAAAACACAAACCGGTGTCTTCCACGTATATTTGCATTCCACCAACTCCCCTTTCTCTACCCCCTTTCTACAGGCTTCCTGCAGTTGGGAAATCCATTGCAAGGTTCTGAGTGCCACCAACCATGGTTCACAGTTGGAGAGGGACAGTGTAGAGAAGTCTTCTCTAGATTCCTGGATGCTCTGTCTGTATTGGGAGGCTGGGGTGAAGGGAAGAGCCTGGCATAGTATCCTTTCCCTGCCTCTGGCAACCCTGGTCCTCCACCCACAGGCAACCTGGCAGCACCTAGTGTCTGGCTACCTAGGAGCGCACTCGATTGCCAATGCCAGGGTAGCCCTGGTTCCATGGGCTCATCCCCCTCTCTAAAATATCGGAGCTGCTGTAGATCTCAGGGGGGTGGTTGTTACACTGATCCCCTTCAGTCTTTCACCTGGGAGCAAAGAATAGCTGGGGGGCGGGGTGGAATGGGTTAAATCTCTCCTCTTCTTCCTGCCATATGCCATAATATATATCACATACTTTGTGCTGGTACTCAAACCTGAGCATGCCTCAGAATCTCTCCCTGGGCTTGTTAAAACAGATTACTGAGTGCCATTTCCCAGTTTCTGATTCATGGGTCCAAGGTGGGCATTTCTAACAAGTTCCCAGGTAATGCTGTGGCTGCTGACCTGAGACCACACTTTAAAAACCACTGCTCTAGTGATATGAGCATTGACATATGGGAGACTTCCGGTATCTTGATTCCTCTGCCTGCTGTGGCATGTGTGGCCCTTTGTATCTATCAAAAATTAATTCTGTAAGTTCATACAGAAAATACAGCCTCTAGCCTCCACAAAAACCTTGACCTATCACCCAGTTCTCTTGTCTACTTTTGAAATGCCTTTACCTTATAGTATCATGGAGCAGTGTTGGCCACTCACATGGTCCTAGGACTTTGTTCTTTAGGGGGCTTAAGAGCTTCTATTGTGAAACAGAAAAAGGAGTTGTGACATAGGTAAACTCACTAGAGAAACCCAGCCTGGACTGGAACCTAGCATTTCACAAAAGAGCACTCAAAGTACCTTCCATGTGCATGGCCACATCAGAGCCCCACAGCTCAGCTGCTGATTGGAGCAGTAGAGTCAGAAGAAATGGATTTTAGAGTCAAACACCCTGGGATTAGACTGCAACAGCACCATTTACTAAGTCTGCAAGCCTCTTGACCTCTGTGATCCTTAGTTTGCTCATCAGTAAAAAAAAAAAAAAAGGAGATGAGGTTGAAATGAGATAATGCATGTAAAGGATTTACCACAGTGCTGGGCGTACAATAAGTATTTCATCATAAACATCATCATTATTAACCATGGAACAATTACTTAGCCTCTTCAATCTCAGTTCCCAAATTGTGGGAAATAAATGAGCTAATGTGACAAAGAACCTAACAGGCGCCCTGGCCTTAAGAAATGGTAGCTATTCTTATCACATATATTCCTGTAATCAACTTCTTCCTATTTCCTTTGCCTACAGTTTTAACCCCATTTATAATTGATCACAGTCTACAAAATAATATGTATCTATGTGTTTGTCTCTCCTGTAGACAAACTAACCTCTAAAGACAGAGGCCAAGTTTTATTCATCACTCTTTTCTCAAAAGTATACAGCACTTTGCATATAATAAGTACTCTGTTCCTGTTGGCAAGTCTCCCTCCTCCTCCCAACACACTTAACATTAAGCGGTCTAGCCTGTCTGCAACTTCACTAGGTGGTAACACAAAGTCTACATTTACACATTCCTTCATCATATTCTCACAAGCATGCAAAGAAGGTAATGTTCTTGCTCCTATTTTACAGATGAGAAAACTAAGGTTCAAGAGATTAGGTAATTTGCCCAAGGCCAGAGAGTTAGCAGGTGATGCAGCAGGGACTCAATCCCTCGTTTTCTCATTTCGAGCACAGCACTCTTGTTGGTTAAACTTGTCACTGCTACACTACCTTCATAATTTTGCCATAGCCCTGTCTCACCTCAGCTCTTACCTGCTTACCATGTTTCTTTACATCAACTCAATTTGTTTAAATAGTTTATTTGAAAAAGAAACTATATATAATTTACAAACCATAAATAAAAGGATTTTATTTTACACCCACTAAAATGGGTGTAATAAAAATAAAACAGTTACCATATTCCAACTGGACTCTATTAACTGACTACCCATTGAGTTTCTGAGTTTAATCTTTATTTAAAACAAGAAGTAAGGGGGTTGTTTACCAAGTGTTAGAGAGATGTTAAAGACCATGTAACACCTAAAGATTTTCTGTTTATCTATAATTGCATAGCTCAAAATGAAATTAGAAATGGATTACCTTCAAAATATTCAGTTTAATATTATCTGAAGCCAGCTCCATGTACCACCTAGAATCATCTCTAACACTATATCAAATTATCTCTTACATCATCAGGGATGCATGTCACATACTCTACTGTACCTCAAAGTGTACCTCGGAAATGTAATTTAACCCACCAGCATTTTTTAATGACGTGACCACCCCAACCACTGTTCACAGATATGATACGGATCCCACTTCAGAAGTTAAACACCACTCTTCTGGCTATCATCTCTTGGTCACTTTCTATCATAATGTTAGGCATATTTCTGTTGTATTTGATGGAAACAGTAGGATCTTTAAACATGTGGCTTCCTCGTTTTCATCATGGCCTCTACACTGCCAGGTACGGAGTCCAGACATGGAGAGCAAATATTATTGAATGACTGACTCACTGCTGAATGAATGAGTGGATGGTTATTTCTCTCTTTGCCCTCTGTGCAGCTTCTCTGGATATACAGAAGAAAGGCTAGTGACTTGGACATGCCAAGATTCACAAAAGAAAGCTGGAAAATCATAGGAAGAAAAAACACTCCAAGTGTTTTTTCAGTCCAAGTGTACCCAGCTCCTTTCTCCTGCACGCACTCATTAAACACTCAAGAAGCCAAATGGTCACACTGAGAGAATAAATGGTGGATATAGGACTAACATGGCATTATTTGTGAACATAGTGTGTTCTTAAAAGTGAAAAAAAATCATCCCCAAATTTTACTAGCCCACATGCTATTAACAGGTATTGAAAAGAGACAGCATTTATTTTACAAGCCTGCTATCTCAAACAAACAAACAAAGAAGTTCCCAAGCAGTTAAAAAAATAAATAACTGAGAGGAAAGAAATCAACATTCTTTGTATTTAACTGTCACGACCATTATTCTCTATGAGCAACAGACTATTTTACAAATCTCTCCTGGAATCACAGTTTATGACAGAGGCGCTCTCAAAGTAACAATCCATTATGCTTTCCCCTCCAAATATGATAGGATGATGGCATCTTGCTCAGAACTTTGCTCTGCTTTGTACATCATGTAGTGGGAATGAATTGGGCTGTGTCATTCCCACTGTTCACCTTATCTTTCTAATCACAGCACTAGCAGAATTCCTTCTAGATGTTGCCTTGGGGTTATAGTAGGCGTGTCTGGAGATCAGATGACTTTGGGTGTGTCTTTCCTGGGTGGAAGGTAACTGCCAGGGAAAGTGCAACTTTTCTCTGCTCCAACTGAATGGAGGGACTGGAACTGAACACTGAGTATATCCTGCTCCAGACTAGCTCAACAAGGCTGGGTGGGTAAAGAGGATCCCATGTGTGGAAGTCTTCTAAGTTTGGTCTTCTGATAAGGGCAGTAAAGATTATAATTGCCCTGGCCGGTTTGGGTCAGTGGTTAGAGCATCGGCCTGCGGTCCAGAGAGACCCGGGTTCGGTTCCCGCTAAGGGCATGTACTTTGGTCGCAGTTTGTCCCCAGCCCTGGTTGGGTCGTGCGGGTGGCAGCCACTCAATGTGTCCCTTCCATGTTGATGTTTCTCTCTCTCTCTTCCTCTCTCTCCCTCCCACTCTATCTGAATAAAAAATGGAAAAATGTCCTCGGGTGAGGATAAAAAAAAGATTATAATTAATATTTATTGAGTGTTTGCTAT